GGGGGGGGTGCTGAGGTTGCGGGAGGGTAATGCAGGAATCTGCAAGGCCCTCGGTCGGTAATTTAGGTGGGAATCTTCGTTATCGGCCGCACGGTGGTAATGTTCGAGGGTCCATCTTGTGCCAGAATGCGGGGGAATATCCCGCATGTGATATCTCACGTTCAATATCCACCATATGATATCTGATATCTAATATCTCGTATGTGATGTCTACTATCGAATATCTCATTTCTTATGTCTAATATCTAATTTTTTATAGCTGACAATCGTAGTCGCTGAAATTTTCAAACGTTCTATCGCCGGTCATTTATTTTGTATTTGTGACGTCATAGGAGTCGTTGGATAGGACTTGGATGAGGTAGGAAGGGGAACCGGACAATTCTCCATATAATTTTTGCGAGAAAAATTACTGAAAAAATGGATAGTCCAGAGCGGGACTTGAACCCGGGACTCGATACTTCTCTCTCTCTCTCTCTCTCTCTTGAGCTCTTGAGCTCTTATATGAAGTCCTATCGTCTTGATCGACAATCCTCAATTGCAGATGGTCTATTGACCGCACCACGATTGGCAAGTAAATGACATGGGCAGGTGTTTCCATGATCTTATATCCACGTGGAATGCTTGGGAAGAATTCGTGAATTGTATGCTCACGTCGATTGATAATGTAGGCTTCTGCAGTTAGATTACACTCAATACGTAGAGAGTTAACATGAATGATATTTGGAGGCGTGGCAGATTCGTAGAATGTTGAATATGCTAGAACTTGTCATTGAAAACGAAGCAGTTGCTCACTGGAGTCCAACGGCCTGAAATTTATCACCACATCCTTGGGTACTTCAATCACCGTCTTGAGCGTCTGATCATTTTCCCGTAAAGTGAAGGGAATTTCATACACTGATAATTGATCTTTCAAAAAATTTTCAATATCAGTAATTTCATAGCTTCCAGTTGGTATAGTCAATTTTATCACCAATCCGTCTTTTTCAATGCAAAATTTATTACATCTGTCGTCGATATTAAGAATTGAATTGTAGGTGAGAAATTAAACAAGCCCCACACTATACAATTTCTCTGGTGATAATTTAATGGGCGGGAAATAACGGGCCTCTAGTGTAGAAGATCGGCCCGACAGGGTCAAGGTAAATGAATCACTCATGATAGTCAACACTCAACTGATATAATTGTGAACTTTTTGCAGCTTTATATCATTTCACCAGCTAGAAATTTCAAACATAAATGCCGACAGATAATAGTATCATAGTCTTGATAATTTTTGGATTATATTTCACAACACTACCGCCACCGAAGTAATTAATCAACTCTTGAGGTGGACGCAAATTGCCATAGCTATCAAAATAGATCATTTCATGATTCTTCTTTTTATATGCAACCCAATGAGTGCCGGGACCATCTTTATCATCAAGATTCACTATAGCTGATGCACATTTCCACGG